TGCAGCCGCCTTGGATGTGACTTGGATTGACTCGTTAGACGAATTCCTGGAAAAAATGCGATAAGATCGCTTGTAGAAAGTCCGCTCGCTAGAAAGTCTCAATCTTCGCTAACTACAGTGAGTCCAAGGAAGCAGCACCATCCCCAAATCAAGGCCTCTGTCCCCAAAGAATTCCTCACAGAGAGAGATGTCGTCTATGCAAAGCCTATTACAAAACTCCGGGCCAATGATCTAAGAGCCGACTGCTTCAAATTGAAAAGGAAGGAAATATCGCCAAACGCGACCCTACCGAGTCATTCCTTGCTGCAGCCGAGGATGTCAATCGCCAAAAATGACGACTCAGAGTGCGTGGGGTGCATCGAGAAAAACTTCCCTACGGAAATTAAGATAAGTCGTACGATTATTAAAGTTAATTTTCTTAATGGATTTAATTATGATCAGCTCTGATGGATACTGACTCTCCGATTTCGTTCATTCAAGACTCCGTCTTCAAGGCAGTGGTCAGTTCGAACATAAAGTTCGATGATATCGATAAGATCTTATCTCTATTAATGATTCGCACATTAATGTCATAGACTTGATTGACTCGTGTTTCTCTAGAGATGCTTTTCGTGTAAAATAAAAATTGTGTCAAAATCATTATAAATATTCTGTTTTCATTCTAAATTAATGTCTGAATGTTTGTTTTTATTAAAAAAATGTTTTTCTAAAAGAATTATTTATTTTTTAGACGAAATAGATAGAGTTGAAGAGACAAATCACGCCTTTCTTTATATATTTATTTAAATATATAATTACATTTTATATTTTTTTTTATTAAAAAATACATTATTTTACAACAAAATAAAAAAATGCATATTTTAACTCGATTTTTCCTTGTTGAAAATTACTCATATTCATGCGCTCAAATAATTCAACTTTTTGTAGAATTCGAAGGTCTAATATTTTTTTTTTCAAAACTTTATATCTAAATTACAAAATCCTGGAGTCATTTTTTTTTATATTCATTTATTACGAAAAGTTATAATTTTTTAAATCAAATGTCATTTTTTTAGTAATTATAAATTATACATTTTATTATTACATTTTACTATTTATATTTTATTATTTTTCAAAATAAAATTCCAATATTTATTTTAAAAAATCGAAAGTATGCTGGTGAATTTTTAGAGATTTTTAAAAATCATTCTAAATAGGAAAAAACGAACAGATTCTAGTGATTGTATATTAACATGAGTTACTAGTGTCTCACTTGAACTGCACGCCAGTCACAGGCAGAGGGACGACAGATCGTCTCTCTGCTGTACACAAGTCTTCTCCACCACTTTTTTTACGAAGATAACAAGCGTCGGACTCATCGAGCTTGCGAGAAATTTACACGAACAGGAATCGCTCGGTCACTAGTGATCCATGTTGATATGGATGAGACACCAAATTATAGTTAGTATGATAAGGATTAAAGATGGATTCCATCATGTTAGCATTCATCCAAAATATACAAAGTTCTTCACATTTGCCAGGCTGGATGACCAATATAGTACATCAAACTCCCTTTTGGATATTCGGAAATCCTGGTAGAATTCCAGAAATGTCTTGTTCAAATCCTTCGGCCCCTTATCTGCCAAGATAAAGTACTGATTTGTATTGATAACATAATATCTTCGAGCTCCATAGAGAAAAATCTGCGGATTCTATCCTAAGTTTTAAGATTGTTCAAGCAGCACAAACTCGAGCTAAATTATTAAAAATGCCAGTTTTTAAAAACAAAGATTGAATATTTGGGACACATTTCTGTCAGGGCATTATCCTAAATGATCGTCACATTGAAGCGGTCAAAAGCTTTTCTGTCCCCAAGAACGTTCAATAGCTTCAGCGGTTCATCGATTTGCTCAGTTTTTTCCGTCGTTTCATACCGAATTTTGCGTCCAAAGCCAATGCCTAATGCGTTACTTAAGAAATTCGCTAAATATGAGTCAGATGAGACGTGTATACAATGTTCGAATTATTGAAGTCAGCGCTTATTATATATCCAGTCCTTCGGCTGTACAATCCGGAATTAGATATAAAATTTAAGAAAACACACCGATGCAAGTTCCATCGCCTTAGCTGCGACAGGAGATCCTTTCTCAGAGACAGGAGAACAATATTTAAAACCCCGATCACTTTTTACAGTCAAGCCACTAATTCTGTGAAAAATGCTATCACTCCATTGAACTTGAAATGTTGGCGATTGTAAAGGCAGTGAAAAATTTCATATTTATTTATACGATCTGGATTTTTCAATTGTGATCGATTGTAATGTAACGTTGGTCGATGCTATCAATAAAGCAAGTGTTAATCCTCGTATTGCCAGGTGGAGTTTAAAATTACAAAATTATCGATTTAAGTTGATAGAAGAGGTAAAAAAATGGCTTATGTCGATGCATTGAGTCGAGTATTCGTGTCGATAGAAGTTCTTCTTCTGAAAAAGGTGTTGCAATATAAGCAGCTCGCGAATTCAACAATTCGTGCGATAGCGGATGCCCTTGAGAACGAAGAACATGACAAATTCTTTCTGATTGAGGGGTTAGTCTATCAGAAGATTAATGACTCGTATGGTTTGTCGTATCGGAAGCCATGATTGCAAACATCATACACGTCTATCAAGACGAATGCGCACATTGTAGGACTGAAAAAACAATTCAGGGCAACGCTAATAATTATTGATTCCCTCGGTACAAAAGAAGGTGCAATCGCATATTGATAATCATTTTACGTGCCTTATGGCTAATGTTTCGATTCATACTAGGGAAAGTGAATTGTTGTTAGAAATCCATCGTCCCGATAGGCGTCACGTAAATCACTTCGACTCTCTAGTAGAATTCCATGAAGGGTTCAAGCATATCCTTATTGTCAAAGACTCCTTTATATGCTTCTCTTAGCTATTTATGATTAAAACCACAATCTCATATAAACTCATTGAACGGTTAACTATGATTTTTTATCGATAACTTCAGTAGTCCTTCCGAAATCGTGTCTGATCGACTTATATCTCGACCGAATTCGCCGAGTTTCGTGCTCGCGATGTAAAATACCGATTAGTAGCCGTCGCTGCATCGTCAAATGGAATAGTCGAGCGCATTAATCACTTTTTAAAATCATCCCTACGTAAGATTTCGGAAGTTCGGAATTGGTTAAGGTTGGTGTAATTCAGTACGTAATAAACAACATTTATCTTCTATAGTCAAAAACTTTCCATCTAAATAACTCCTGGACTACGAGAAACAAAACCATTAGTGCGCGCTTGACATTTGATACTGCGCGTAATATTGCGATCCAAGCTTCCGATAGACTTCGCGCCAACAACAAAGCCTATTACGATAAGCGACACAAGTCATCCATTACGTATAAGCAGAGGGATTATATTCTCGTACATGGCAATAAAGCCTGGTGAGAACAAAAAGTTAAAGTTGCCATATCAAGGCATTATTTGGTCGCGAAGATTTTAAACAAAAATAGATATGCCATTCAAGACATTCTCGTGTTTAAAATTATTCAAAAGCCATACAATTCGGTTTCCCTCAATTGACTCAACCCTGGATTAAAGTCAGCTTCTTGATTTTCTACTAGTCTTCATGCCGCTCTAGTTCACAAGTTCTCTAATTCATAAGCTTTAGTTTTTAGCTCATAAGTTTCATGCACATATATATAACCTAATATTTTATTTTTGTATACGTTAGTATTTTTAAAATGTATTATTTCTACTAGAGATTAAGAATATTCGACAGCTCTCACGGCTATAATCATTTCTCAACGAGATCACTAAGGTGCTCCATGTACAATTATTTATTTATAATCGTTCACTTTTGGAAACCTATGATTGTATTCGGATCCAATAATGTAGATCCAAAAATGTAGATGTAGGAATCTAGAACCAATTTTATTTTATTTGTTGAACACATGGTGGCGTTCCTCTACACGCTTGCGTATTTGACTGTTCTGTGATTGGTTCTTACGTCTGATCATCCCACGTAACTGATTTTGTCGTTGTAGCTTTTGCGTGCGATAGGTCGCGCGTAGAAAGAAAATGGAACGAAGGCGCGGCGTTGCATTGCGGGGAGAGGGGGGGAAGGTGTTGCATTGCGAAGAGGAGGGAGGAGGGAGGGGGGCATTCTAAATTTGTACGAAGAGGAAAATAAAGGTGTCTGAAAATATCACTGTGTCGTACTCGGGAGTACCCTTCTTTCGCCTTCCTGCATCCCCAGGAATTCCTGATTACAACCCCCTAGTGTTTACGGTAGTGATTACCCTCCGGTTTCCCTATTCAGTAAAAACCTATCACGGAGAAGTGTCCGTTTGTCCCAGGCTTAGGCGGTTAGACTCAAAGTCTCATTTCCGCCTTACATAGATGATCTTAAAATAATAAATTATTAGAAATTAATTCTGTTAATAAATCATGAAACTTTTAATTGTTTTAACTACATACATACACTGTATTATTAATATATTATACAATTAAACTTATTATTCAATTAATAAACTTATTATTCATTTAGTAAATTTTTCAATATACAATAATATTGAAATAGTATTAAAATTGTACAAACAAATTAAACACAAATACAATATGTGGAATGTGGGATTTGTTGATTTATCGTTACATAACAAATATTTCATATAGCAATTAATATTTTCTTTTATAAATATAGATATTCAATACTGTTTCCACTTTAAAGAACTTGTTAAAAATTACGAAAATAAACATTTCATATTATACATTTATATAGTCAATAAAAGCAATGAATAACAAATGGAATAAAATTACAAATATAAAATTACAAATATAAAATTGAAACTTTATATTTTAAATATGAAACTTTATATTTTATGCTATTCTCGTTTCTTCTTATTATTTAAAATATAATGTAGAAATGTATTTATGTAAATATACAAATTAACGGCATAAAATATGCGTAACAAAAGTATAAATTTATTAAAAAAGTATAAATTTAATGATTTACCTGAAATGTTTCGACATAGTCATCGTTAACAATTTGTTGCTGAACACTTTTCTGCTTTAGCAACAGCAGCAGGTATGGTATCAGTAGTTTTAGATGATACACATTGTCCGAGTAATTCTGGACATGATATATCATTGGAAACAATGCTATGGATTTTTCTTAGTAAATCATAATTGATGCGCTGCGTTATTACAGCATCATGCCTATTTACATATATATTTTATTAAAATTATGTCATTATATATCATTATGTTTAAAAAAATAATACCGACAGTTCAAAGAAAAAAGAATATTTGCTTACTTATATTCAGGATGCAAAGTGACTTCTTTTCTCAGCCAAGCAGCAGTTGTCAAAAGTTCACCAGAAGCGCGTTTTTGTATTAATTTTAAATATCTTTGGATAGTACAATGTGTATCAGCATCTACATTCATGTTAGCTAAATATGAGTTTACAAGTGGCACGAGACCAGGAAAAATGCCATTCTGAAAAAACATGAAGTGACAATAAAATTCATTTATGAAGTGTACAGTTATTCTTAAATTCTTATTGGAAACAGACAAAATATATATAAATATATAAATTAAGCATATGAATATACATATATTTAAAAAAAAAAAAGAAATGTGTACAACACATGCAAAATATTTTTATGTATCTTTTATCTGATAAATACCTTTCCATTAATAATTTCATTAATTGTAAACTCGGATTGAGTATTATCAGATTTTATATCGGAAGTAATATCATGACGAAACCAAAATTTCTCTACTTTTACTGCATTTCTTTTCTGCGCCCTAATCATATTTTGATCAACTTTGCTAATTGGAATTAAAAGATTTAGCTTGTAGCTCAGAATGACTCTTGTTAATAGTACTGTGAAACAAACTATCGCAGCATTCTCGAAATCTGTGATCTGAACTTCACATGGACGGAATTCTACACGCCAACCAATAGACGAGTTTGGCGGTGGTGGTTTGAAACGCATGGTTTGCCAATTTGTAGATTGTATGTTCTGAAACAGTATTATAATTCATGACACAATAAAAGCATTTACAATTACAGTATCGAAAAATTTATATTAGAATTAAATCGGTCATTTCAGAAACTCTATAAATAAAATCTATTTAAAAATTCTTATTTTTCGAGAACTGAAAAAAGAACGTTTAATTTTTACAACTGTAGTACTAAAAATAATTAAAAATAATTTTAAAATGCCTCATTATGTCATATATTAAGTGAGTGAAACATATCAACTTTTAGTTTTAAAACTAATTTCCAAAAAGAAAAGTAACTTCAAAAATATATTAACTTATGTTTTTGAAGGAAATGAGCGTACATATAATTTATATATTAGATGTACAACTTTGCTTCTGCTGTTTTCCTATAGATGGCTTTAGTGGTAAGTGGTAGTCGAAATAAATAGATCATAGACGTCATACAATAAACTTGGGCATCTGTCAACATAACTCCATAGAAACATTACTCGATTTGTATCTGCATCATAAAGTTATTCTCGATTGAAAATGTCAGTTTACGAGCCAAATTCTCGTCATTTGCGGGAGGTTTTAATTTTTTGCTTCAATATGAAGAAATCTGCGGATGAGGCTCATCGAATGCTCTCAAATACTTATGGTGAGGCCGCTATTAGTGAAAGAACGTATCGTGAGTGGTTTCAACGCTTCAAGAACGGTGATTTTGACGTCCAAGGTCATGCTCTGTATTTGGTGGGACCAGCTCGGCGTAGTGTATTATGAATTGTTAAAACCAACTGAAACAATCACAGGCGATATCGATATCGAACGCAATTGATGCGTTTGAACCGAGCATTGAAAGACAAACAGTCGCAATACAACGAGAGACACGATAAAGTGATTTTGCAGCATGACAATGCTCGACCCCATGTTGTGAAAGTGGTCAAGACATACTTGGAAACGTTGAAATGGGAAGTCCTACCCCACCCGCCGTATTCTCCAGACGTTACTCCCTCTGACTATCACTTGTTTCGATCAATGGCACACGGCCTGGCTGACCAGCACTTCTGGTCTTATGAAGAAATAAAAAATTGGATCGATTCGTGGATAGCCTCATAAGATGACCATTTTTTTCGCGGGATTCGTACGCTACCCGAAAGATAGGAGAAAGTAGTGGCCAGCGATGGACAATACTTTGAATCATAAATGTATAACCAGTTTTTTACAATAAAACCTCGAATTTCGGAAAAAAACGGCGGAAACAAAGTTGTACATCTAATATATATTGTCACAAGTAGCATTACACAAGCAAGAAAAGTAGAGTGTTAAGATGTAAGCGACTCGATATTAAGAATTAAAGAAAGATTATAAAGATTAATTTCGCAAATTGTTTAAGAAAAATGTAGCGGAAGAACTTAATTGTGTGATCCATAAAACTCCGACATTGCATGCTTGATCAATAATCAGAATGCTGATACATAAGCGCTGATTTAGTAAGGACGGCCTGCAGAAGAACGAGATATAAGCCAAAAAGCGGGCGGCAGTCAATAATTCTCGTTAGCGTCGCGTTATTTTCTCCGTTCAATGTTTAGAAACAGTACAGTCGCGATTTAATTGATAATATGGATAAGTAGTTAAAACTCGACTAAGTGTATTGTTAAAGTTATTTTATTGTAAAGAATATGATTAAAAATCAAATCAACGATAAGTGTCAAGTTATTAATTGTACATCCTGAAACTCGATCTCGAATCCGATATCGTGACATTGCGGCACAACAATATATATTTGTACATATAAAGATTTATTTAAGAAATTCAATAAATGTAAAATACTAAAGAATATGTTGTGATCTAAAACAAAAAAGAAAGATATTTAACTTTATTATTGAAAAATATTATACAATTCACTAAAAATATACATAATTTATTAAAAAGAATAAACTCGTAATATTGAATTTCAATATGCTAAAGTAATTTATTAAGTATTTAAAAGGAGCGCTTAATAGGATAAAAAAAATATTTTAATTTTTTTTCATAAATCAATACAACTTTTGGAAAATATTTTATCAGTGTAACTTTTGGAGAATATTTAAAAATTTTTCTAAAATTTTAGAACGAAATTCGAAATTCTTCGGTAGACTTAGCGCTTGTAATGGGAACACGACATGTACAATAGATATTAGGCGCATGTAGGTATTAGGCGACGGTTATCAAGAAGCAATCCTATTTATATCAATTTATCAATCAAATAATCTGTTAACGCGATGTCGGGTGAACATACTCTGAACGCGAACGCAAATTTTGAACTTCTAAAGACTGGCACCAAAGTAACTTCAATTGTGATGTAAAAATACTTAAAATCGTCGCTCTTATTTATTATTACTGGCACTTTCAACAAAAAATATTTTGTTGTTTTCAAAATCATTAATGAATTGATATTGGATCAGAAAGCAAGCACTATGTATGATGCACAACAAATTTTCAGGCAGAAGTGCCGACTGAGTAGCACAAAAAAGGGAATAGTTCATTTACTGTAGCACAATCATCCATTGTTGCCAGGGGTTGGGAAATTTCTCCTTAAATTTAAAAGTCTTTTTCTTTCCGAGGGATTTTTTTCCGAGGGAAGTACAAGAAGTTTAGGAGAATTTTTGGCTTCTTATGAGAAAAATACAAAGAAATATTCAGATTACGACTAAAACATTCAGAAAATCGCAATATACGGGGATAACTTTCGAATAGGCAATACTGTCAATCACAACTTCTGCGTAGAGAGTTTTTTTTTTTAGCACTATAATTGGCTTGTGCGCAAATGGCTCGTGTACAATGGACATACATCCCATAAAAAAGATCTCAGCAGCACATAAACTGGTCCAAATTGCTCGGAATGAATTTAATGAAGAAGCAGAAGGATTATTATAGAGTTATTGTATGCCCCTGGAATAGATTAGTACCCAAGCACTGTAAGTACTTAAGAACTATACTTTTTTACATCGAAAACTTTAAATGCGTTTCCTCAAAATCTATTTTTAACATTTTCTTCAATTTTGTGTGTGTACGATTATAAAAAAAGCAAATAACTTTATATAAGACGAACTTTATATAAAAAGCAAATAATTTTATTTAAATATACTACTCGTTTAAATATACTACTCGTTAATTAGATAATGGTCAACTCTCCTCGATGAATCTAAAAAGTTAAAAAAAAATCATTAACAATTTTTTTATATGAAGAAATAAAGGCTACCTAGTGAAAATCATAACTTTTTTTTCAAAATCGCACAAAATTTTAATTTTTATATATTTTTTTAAGTTTTCAAGTTTATTTAGAAAAAAAATTATATGAAAATTAAAAATATTTCTTGATTTTTTATTTCAGACCAGAATTAAAGTCAAAATGTTAAACACAAAATTAAACACAAAATGATGACGATGGCCAGGCGCAAACTTCAATATTAATTTTTTTGTTATTTACAATACCTTTTTGTATACAAAAAATTTAATTACATTCTTAAAATGATAAAAAAATTTTATTTATTATACTATTTCTTTTTTAAAAAATCGCGAAAAATCACCTATTTTTCAGTCTCCTAAACAAGACGCCTTCTCTAAGATCCGATTGCATCGATCCAACATTACTTTGACTTAAACGAGATTTAAAGCTCTTTTTACCTTTATAAGAGGGAGCTTTAAAAAGAGAGCTTGTGTGTGTGTGTGTGTGTGTGTGTGTGTGTGTGTGTGTGTGTGTGTGTGTGTGCGTGCGCGCGCGCGTGTGTGTGTGTGTGTGCGCGCGCGCGCGTGTGTGTGTGTGTGAGTTTTAAGCCTCGCTTAAAGTTAAAATAACATTGATGCAATCGGGTCTTAAAGTAAAAGGAAAATATATAAGTCAACATAAGTTACTGCTTCGCACGTGAATGTAAATTTGATCAAGAGGGGAGGATGCTAATGTGAATCTTTTTAAAGGAATTATGTGTCTATTTTCTCAATCTAATTCTAAGTTCTTTATTATCTTAATTTCAAAAACAAAAATTGATTTATGGAGCTTCTGAAATATCCGATTCAATTGTAATCTCACCTCAAAATGATCAGTATCTTCTAAATCGTTCTGATGGACTTTTTCGGAAAATAAAGACACGCTATCTCTAATAAACAGATGAGCTATATGTTGCGCAAGCAAATGATCAATTCCATTCTCCAAAAGCTGTTTATATATCTCATCGTCATACGTTAAAGGAACATCATTATATTTTTCACCTTGTCTGCTAAGGTACGAATCGATAGAATCGTACCTAGACTTACTGATTTTAAATTTGTTTTCTTTAAGTGGTTTTAATCCTCGTTCTTCTTGTGTTCTGCAGTCTACTGACGAAGATATGACACTCCATCGACAATCAACATCACTTATGTAGCCTCGATAAAAAGGACTGGCAGCGGTTAAAGCCAACTGTCGAATGTTAAAGAAATTTTCTGTAACGTACGTATGAAAGAACACTCTATATGCCGCTATTATATTTAATAAAAGAAAGAAATCAAATGAACAAATAAAGAAACCCAATGATGATATTATTTAACACTAACCATGATAGGACACAAAGGTGTTAATTGATCGTATAATGTTCTTGCTTCTTCTATGTTACATGCTTGAAAAGTAAGTTGCAAACAGCAACATCCCATCCCAAAACCCATTGCGTCCATATAAATACAATTATCTTTAGCTACTTTCGAGGACCCGTCATCCCCCTTGCTAGTAAAGTCTTCTTTAAATAACAATGGTACGCTTTCGTCTCTGTAAACTAGAAAGATGTATTTATATTAAGGGAAATTAAAAATTTTGTTAAATATATTATACTTATATTTATATATTAAGTATATAATATTATGTTATAGTACATTATATATTTATCAAATAATATGATAGAATTTAGACTAATAAGAATAAATCTAAGTATAAGAACTACATTATATTTGATCAAAGCGGATCTTATGTTAGTGCTTAAACATTTCTTGTATGAATTTATATACATATCTGATTCTACAAATTGCGCACCGAAATCTTTTTCAGTCTTGAAATGTCATTATGAGCAGAATCAGAGTAAATGTTACTTCGTTAAAGGGATCCTAAAGACAATTAATTATATTGAAAATAACACTTACATACAGATCATTTACATGTTATTGACACATCATTATATTATTGGCTGCGTTCAATAGAAAAAACCGCTCACTGAGCGTTTATTGAGCAAAAAAGGAATTAACTTATGATTAATATATTTATTTATTATAATTCATAATGTAGAATAACTTGTCTATTATAGATAATCTTTAATATCATATAAAAGATAAAAAGGCTCGATAATGACAAATAAAGTCAAAATTATAAGAAAGGCTACGAACCAGAGTTACAAAACAAGGTAAAATAAATTATAAAAATATAAATATTACAATATAAACGTTTCGACTCCTATCGGGTCATTTTCAATGTTAACAAATTCTTATAAATACGTGTTAAAATCTGAAATGCTCGCCAATAATGTAGTCCTTTAGTTCTTCTTTAAAAATGCCCCACATAAGGACATTTTTTCTTTATGTTCTTGTAAAAATTATCCTGTTGTATCATGTTATCCCAAGATAAAATTCTCATTGTCGTCTTATATTGAAAGCATTCACAGCAAAGTAGAAATAACCATAAGAAGATTTATAAAGACAGTTCTATCTACGAATCCATAGATAACGGATTCATTATATTCTAACATCATACAGTTTCTTTTTGCCTCTTAGTTGTTTATTCTTATTCCCCTTCCATTGGACGCCTTCCCGTTCCATAAGTCTTCTTTTATTGTTGTGTTGCGATACACTTTAGTTACATTTTCTTGGTTGAGACGCTACATAATCTTTGCACATTTTTCTTCTGATTGCAATTTGCTCAATTATAAGATGGGAATCCATAAGCGATTGTCACTATTTTTTCTTCTTTCACTGAAATTTAAAATGTTCACATAAGAAGGATAGAAGAAGCAAGAATTTTATACGATATATTACTAATTTTATTGCACAGTTACATAATTTTATGAACTTGAACTGTTACGGTTATTTCTTGCGATCTCTTTATAGATCTTCTTATGGTTATTTTTACTTTGCTGTGAATGCTTTCAATATAAGACGACAATGATAATTTTACCTTGGAATAACATGATATAATAGGATAATTTTTACAAGAATATTAAGAAAAAATGGCCTTACTATTCGTGGGATCCGCATTTTTAAGAAGAACTAAAGAATTACATTGTTGGCGAGCATTTCAGATTTTAACACGTATTTATATATTTTTTTGGATACATGTATTAAGCGATAGATTTATAAGAATTTGTTAACATTGAAAATGACCCGAGTCATTAAGTAAGTGTCAAAACGTTTATATTGTAATATTTATAGTTTTATAATTTATTTTTCCTTGTTTTGTAACTTTGTCTCATAACTCTTTTTATAATTTTGATTTTATTTAATATCATATTTCTTACTTATTTATTAATTTACTTTATTATTTTTCTAATCGTGTTTGAGCCATAAAGTTATGTAGCTCAGTGAGCAGTGGAGCGATTTATAATTATTTATAATATTAAATCACTCGTAAATTATAAATTTTTTTTATAATTGTACCGTAATAATTGTACCGTAATTTTATGAACAGAATAATGAGATAAATCAAAGAAAACACATAGTTACTTTTTAAAAAATATGCAAAAAGGATAATTTTTTAAATAAGTAACTATGTATTTTTTTTCCATCAATTGAGTCATCTCATTACCCTGCATATAAAATTATTAAGACACGATTATCAAAAAATTAATAGTGTATGAATTATTTAACATTTTATGTTAATATATACCAGAAAAAAGTATAAAATATCTTGTAAACTTTTGATTTTTTTATATCACTACCTTATAATACTTTTATATGCAGAATAATTAGAAGAATTTTGTATTAAAGAAATCATACAATTCCATTTTAAAAAATGGAGATGAACTTGAAATCTCCGAAGCACTTCTACCCATAAAAAAATTATTAGTAGTATATTGTACTCCTCTTGATGACATATAATTTTAATAAATATATTATTTCATATCTTTAAAAATAACAGAAATATTCTAAGTGGACAAAGTTACCTGCCTCACTTTGTATACGTATAAAAAAATATATTTTTTTTAATTTTTCGACCATTCAAAAATTTCCATTTCATGTCAAAAACACACTTCTAAATTTTTATCAAAAGATATTACGTTTTAGAGACGGCTAGTAAACGATTAAAACAAACTTTCGATTTTCCTTACTACTATTTGATTGTATTTGATTTAACACAAAACTCAGGTTTAATCAGGATATTTAATGTGGTATTGTATGTTTTTTTGATCGCTGAACACGAGGCGTTCAATAGGTCATTACTCCTCTCAAATTGTAAGTCTATTCATTCTAAATAAGGTATCCAGCTTTTCTGGAATCTTCTACAGGATCTTTAAAAGTTGCATTTAACTGGATTATAAAATGTTTTTAAGGATAAAAAAAATCTTTTTACAAATTCTAAAGTATATCGCTTTTGATTTTGACATTCTCAAATCAAATATCTCAATTTGACAATAAAAAACTCAATTAGAAAATGAAATGAGATAATGAAGTACATAATACAATACAAAAAAATATCATTTAATTAATTGAAAAAACTCAATTAGAAAATGAAATGAGATAATGAAGTACATAATACAATACAAAAAAATATCATTTAATTAATTGAAATAAATTACATATATCAAAAAAAAAATTACACATCAAATAAGGACAAAGATAGCAATGGAATTTCAATGGAATCGTAATTGGTGATTCAAATAATTTATAATATATTATCGATAATTGATTTGATAAAATTGATAAACAAATAAATTTCCGATAACAGATTTACATATTAAATTTTATACATTTTCATATTAAACCTTGTGAATTGTTCCAACATTCGCTCTGTTCTTTTGAACACGATGAGAAAATTTGAAGATTATATCTCATTTCAGATTTTCCTTTAGTGACCTCTAAATGTTAATATTTTTTTGAAAAAAACTTTGTGTTCTTTGATATGAAAAAGATGCTTTTGAATTCAGAAACCAAATAAAAAAAAAATATTTTCCTTGTCAGTCTAATGTACATATACTATATAGGTGTTCAAAAAAGCGTTACAAATTTTAATCTCAGAAACACAGCATTATTGAGAAAAATTGACAAAAATTATAGAGTTCAAAAAGGTCTATTTACTGATCTTATCAATTTGACCTGGTGTCGCCAAGATCAAGTCAAGATTTTTTTTTAATAGAATATCCTACTTTTGTTACCAGAATCTAATAGCTGATGTCGAGAGCTTTCCAAAATGCTATTAGGTGTACAACTTTGCTTCCGCCGTTTTTTTTCCGAAATTCGAGGCTTTATTGTAAAAAACTGGTTATACATTTATGATTCAAAGTATTGTCCATCGCTGGCCATTACTTTCTCCCATTTTTCGGATAACGTACGAATCCCGCGTCGAAAAAACTGGTCATCTTTTGAGGCTATCCACGAATCGATCCAATTTTTTACTTCTTCATAAGGCCGGAAGTGCTGGTCAGCCAGGCCGTGTGCCATTGATCGAAACAAGTGAAGTTAGAGGGAGCAACGTCTGGAGAATACGGCGGGTGGGGTAGGACTTCCCATTTCAACGTTTCCAAATATGTCTTGATCACTTTCGCAACATGGGGTCGAGCATTGTCATGCTGCAAAATCACTTTATCGTGTCT